AAATCACGTGTCCAAATCTTAGTTTATAAGTGACATTGATACCACCCCTTATCTGAAACTTTTCCTCCCCCTCCTCATAATCACCCTGTTGTCCCCCCAAAGAGTCCATTGACACCAGTCCATTAAAAGAGATCTTCTCTTCTGGTGATCTAATCGTATTGTCGATAGTCAACTGCCGATATTCAGGACTCATTAAACAATTCTATCGTCCCCCTAGGATGCATTGTTACTTATTGGCCGGAACACTGCTAAAGTCCACTCTTCCAAGTGCATATAAACACGGATATGAACTCAACACAGCCATCATGTTGAGTTTTTTGGGGGAAAAAAAAGATATGCAGCTATTTTCCGGGGCGAATCGACACCCCCACTGCAATCAATCACTTTTTTTTTAATGCCGTTTTTTCCCCTCCCGTAAAATTGTTAAGATTTTTTTTTTCCCTGAAGTGCCTTTGGCGTATTGTTGAGGTGACTAACATTTTTCATTTAATATACGAAACAATTATACGAAAAGATGAGTAATATTTAAATAATTTTTATTACACCCGATAGTATCATATAATGATAATAATCATCGCATTTTTATGTTGTTGTTGTTTCACGCCCCCATTGGCCAGCAGTGCTAGACCAGATCCATGACGTTATACACCCTCAAAAAACACTGTACATGGATCATCTACTAAATCCTGCTTGGTGAGGCGAAGCCTGCTCTGAAGAACAGTTGTTACAAATTTCAAAGTTCTTGGATCCTTCCGAAAATTTCATTGATTTAAGGTGACCACTTCGAAAGCGGGCAAAAATAATTTGTTCCTGTCTACTAAAACCTTGGACCAGGGAGCCTTCAGGTCGAGAATACTGATACCATGGGTGCTTTGGGGGAACATTCCAAGTGGTCTTGTTTTTGTGTTTGACAACACAGAGGCCACGCAAGCACCAGCTTTAGCCAAAGTGGCCGCGATCTCGTTACCCATCCATCGCATTTTTATAGTTAATTTAAGTAGTTCTTGTACTTGAGTATGGTATTGGAAAGTGTTTTAGTATCTATTGTAGGTATGTTTATTAATTTAATATAGAATTTAATATGTTTTTATCATAGACTGTTATGTAATAAGATAATATCATGAACATTATTAAAGTTAGAGAAGTGAATGATAGTGAGTAATTAAATGTGTAACTCTAGGTTATTGTTTATTGAAAATACAAGAAAACTACTGAAAATTTTTAAAAATTACTCCTTAGTACTATAAGATCATTACTTTTATCATAAATCTAAAAATGATTCATAGTTTTTGCTCGTATACAAAAAAATGCATTGAAATCTTAATTTTTATTATTAAATATTATTTTTTAATCTTATTTTTTAGTATTATATTTATTTGTATAGCCTATATGTTCAGGAAAATGATAATTTATTTAAACCTCTAAATATGTATTGTAATAATTCAGAATTTCTAAAATTCTTTCTCAGAGAATAAAGGTTTCGATCTAAACTCGGCAGGAAATGTTTGAAATTTTATCGTTTCCAACTATTAATTTTATTCTGAATATTTAATTTGTTTTAAAATTAATTCCAGCCGTATTTATTTTACTTATTTCCCAATAAATTATTTAATATCAAGTAACTCAAGAAGTTGGATTTCTACTAAATGTAAGATTGGTCCAAATAATAAATCTAAATTAAGTTAAAGGATTTTCTTTATATCTTACCTTCAAACTGCAGTTCTGCCGTATAATGACGTAGAAAAAAGTAACGAAACCAGCAAGTCAGCATCATAAATGTTCTAATTCGAATTAGTTTACGTCTTTTTGGCGTGAGGCAACAAAAAAAAGGCTTAGTGATTTTGAGGAAAAGGCACAAACCCAATCAATGAAAGTAGTCACATTTAATGAGTCACCGTTCTTTTAATGCGTCGAAGAGAACCAATACCTGGCAATGATGGGACTCGCTCAATTTCCTGGCACCACCTGCCATAAAAGTTCGAATCCGATATTTTAAGGGTGCATAAAAGTAATGGCCCGGGGGCCGGAAATTACTCTCACCGACATTTCGCGAGTTCATGTTTCAATAATGTCATAGTCATTGGAAAATTTTCACAATTAAAATGCCACTTGGTTGTTGTTTTTACAACATTTAAATTACGAAGGAATGGCCTCTAGTCAAAAGGTTGGTGACAAAATGTGCACTTTATGGCTTCATTTACCTCTCTGAAGGGTGGTGACAGTTTTAATATAAATTACTCTTATCACTTTTATAAAAGATCGGAAAAGGGAATTGAGTTCATTAGGGAAATTGTTAAACTTGGTACTTGGCTTGATTTGGCGGTTTTAGTCAATTTTTTAAATAAAATAATTTCTTTTTCTACGCCAAGTTTTTGTCTCAACATTTTAACTAATGTGTTAATTTAGATTTGGTGATCAAATGCATAATAGAAGCGCGTGCCGTATGTACTATATTTGGATCTCAACACTAAGTTTGCTGCATTAAAACGGTTTCAAAATGTTAAATTTCATTACAGTAAAACAGTTCTGGTCTAACTTTATGGTGCATTGAAATGGATTTAAACTTGTAAGCTTTTGAGGAAAACATTTTGATGCATTAGAACGGATTCGAACATGAAACTAGATTACAATTAACAGCGTTTATGACAAATTTGTTGATGCTCTAAAACAGATTTAAAATCTCGAATACAAAAAAATAAATAATTATAGACAGAATTTTGGACGCATTTAAATGGATTTTAATAAGCAATTTGATTACAAAAAGCAACTTTTGTAACTCATTTGATGTTTTAAAGCGAGCTTAAAAAATAGATTTGATTTCAATAAATAATATAGACAAACTTTATATTAGACATTTCGCTGTGACTGGTCAGTCTTTTTTTTTGCTAAAGATACATGTACAAATTCAAATTATATTTGCTGACTTTAAGATATTTAATTAATTTCTTACGTCATTATTCGGCTTGTAACTTGAAAGGAAAAACAATTAAACAACCCTTTCATAAACGAAGGCTTACCGAGTTCAAAAAACAAGTATTTTTCAAGTATATTCGAATTGCATACTGCAACTTGTAAGGTTATTTCTTGAAGGCTCTTTCGTCACATGAAATGATACTTTTTTGATAATAATAATGCTATTTTCTCAACTGTTGTGAGTTTGCAACAGTTACTCACGACAAGTGGATCTAGTCTAGTCAGCGCCCTCTATGGAAATTCTGAAAATGGCGCAACACGCCAATATGATAAAATACCACTATTTTGAGAAAATGAAGAGCGTTTCTAATTTTTTAATATTAAAAACTTACTCAAAAAATTTGCAAAAAAAAAAAAAAAAGAAAGAAAAAAAGAGAATTTGGCATTGATTTTGATAATTTTAGACTAGATGGAAAAATGTTGCCAAATTGGCGATTTTTAAAATACTTAAATAACTTTCAAAATATTTCAGTTATTTTACCTTTTTATAGTCTAGATAATTCTTCACGGCAAGAAGGGATTTATAATTTAAAATCATAGCTATGCTTCAAGTTGTAAGGCACTGATACTGTGGGTTTTTATTTTTCTAAATTAAAAACAAATAGAACTTCGTACAATAAGGCTTAAAAAAGTTCAGGTATTTTTTTTCGTTGCTATTTAAATCGCTTCATTTTTACTTCTAAATTGAAACGAAAATATTTGTCTACAAATTAATCTCTCGTTACTTTAAACGTATTTTCTTGTATTAAATTACACATATGTTATATTATCAACTTTTTTAAATTAATCTGACGCTTCTCATAAACAATGAAAATTAAAACAATAGGAAAAAAATTACTTCATGTTTGATCAGTCTGGTATTTTGATAAATAAGAATAACATGGTAAGTATTTTGATTTAAACTTAATGATCCATGATGACGTCTTCCCTGTCTCCTTATCCACGCCCATGACACGCCTTTAGTTAACGCCCCCTTGATTAATGACTATATGCCGTGACATTTTGCCACCCATCGGTACAGGAGATTATTTTTCAGAATTTACTCTTTAAGTACAAGATATTTATTTTAAAAGAGTTAAACTTAGCTTTTAAAATAGGATGCTATTGAAGATGGGCGTTGCTGCATTTCTTTGAGTACACGGACATTCATTATTTTAGCTTGCTTTAAAATGCACTTCCATCAATTTAAAATGCGCTCTTTTAAGATCTCTATTTAAGTTTGTGATCAAAGGAGAGTTGCATTTCTGTGTTTATCTTCTGTTATGGCTTTTCGAACAAATTGTTCAGATACACTTCATTAACGGTATATAATATTAAAACAACTTGGTTGCCCACATTACTAATTCTCTTTAACTCTACAATTTTTAAACCTTTGAAGTTAATTATTGTTAATTTATCAAAAAATAAATAATGGTAATTTGATTTGTGTAGGAAGATTTGCTTTAAACGTGCGCACGTAAGTGGTATGCCATGTGTAAGTGTTAATTATAAAACAAAAATGTTATTGATTTAAATACTATAAGGCAAAGATTATCTATTGAAGTAAAGCCACGTCGAATCTGCAAAGTGGCAGAAAAGTGAAAGCATCTTTTCATTATTTGCATCTAGGCTTTAAAACAAAGCTTCAGTCTATGTAAAAGCAGAACAGCAAGTGCGAAAAAATCTTTCTAATAATATTTCAGTCTATGTAACAGTAGAATAGCAAGTGCAAACAAATCGTTATAGTAAAATTCCAGTCTATGTAAAAGAAAAAAAAATCAGTTGGATCACCCGTTAATATATTGTGGGTCTGAATCCAGCTCGACATCAAAATCTATAGACAAATAATTAAAAATTGTATCTACTATGTTACCCCAAGTATATACATCCAATATTTCGTCCTAGGAACCGGTTTAATCAGGAAGCGTAGATATAAATACGAGTTTTAATTTGATGCTAATGTTTTTTTTAATTCATATTGCCATAAATTGTTTTAGATGGGTAAGTTGTCAAAAATTGTGACCATTTTGTTAATCTGTTCCTTGCAGATCGTCGCTTTGGACGCAGGAGTTGTGAAGAACACCCACTGCAATATTTGCTGCGACCGTCCGAGCCTGCCCACCACCAGTGGCGTCTGCCAGACCACCATGACAACAGAACCCTCTGCTGCTATCACCAGAATAGCCATTCCCCTTACCACCTTAAACATGAACAGCAGCAACAAGAACCCCACTACGAGACACTGGAGCCCCTGGAAGGACCCCCAAGACCACTTCTCAGCTCCCTGGCCGCAGTCTTGAACATGGGTCCCCCAGTAGTGGGGACACCTTGTCGAGTTGCTTACTGTGGTATACAGAGTCCGACTGACTCGGAACGGTCATCAAGCAGTTTCATGGACACACAAGTCCGGATGAGTCCGTCAGCTAGCTCTCCGGACAACGAACTAACTGATAGCCTGCCTAACCTGGACAGAAGGACAGGTTGCGGTGCATCTGCACTGCCGGCGTCTCTAACTTATTAGTTAAATAAAAATAATAAATAAACTGCAATTTTGTGATTAGAATGATTTTATTTTGTTTTCGAAACTGACGTGAAAAAAAGAGCTTTTCTATCAATGGAACGCTTCATATTGAACCAGAGCTTTCGATTTTCTGCGAACGTTTGATTTCTGTTTTTTAATCAGATGTCGAAACAATCAACTTCATTGTTGTCTGTACATATTTAAAAATAAAAAAAAAGAACATTGAGCTAACATGTGAATTCCACATTGAACTGTGATGTGTGTGCGTGCGGTTTGTGTGAATGTGTTGAGTAATTAATTACTGACTCTCTGCCTCTGCAGATCAACTTGCAGTCGCCATCAAAAACCAAGATATACTAAATCTATTCTCTGTGTTTCATATCCAAGTTTATACAGCTCGAACGAAATATTTTGGAACGCAACTTTACTTTTCCCGGCTTCAAACCTCTTTTTAACGAATATCTTTGTCTCCTAATCTTCTCGTTATATCGGAAGATAAAGTACATGCCTTTCGTCATATTTTAACCATGAATGTGATTTAAAACTTTTTCAGAGAAAAAAAAAAGTATTACTGAAAACTACAAAAAATGAAAAAAAAAAAAAAAAACTACATTGTGCTCAGTGTTGTGGTGATATATGTGAAATAAATATCTGGATAAACGATGTATCCAGCGCGATATTTTTAAGTGTGATTTTTCCCCACTATTTCCCTTGCTGCATGATTCGTTAAATTATATACTATGAAACTTGGAAGCGATTCAGTCTTGAGTCATTATTGACTGAATCGCTCTCGTGGGTGATGTTTGATATTTTTGTGGCCGATGCCTTCAAAGAAAATTATTGTATAAAAAAGATAACTATTTCTTATTGAGCTTTTTCTGCAATGTATATGTTTTTTCCCCCCTTCTTTGATCATCCTGTGTTATTTTGAAGGCCGGTATATGTATGAGTTATTGTTAATAAAATTTGAAAAGTGCTATCGAAAGTGTATAAATTTGCTTTAATAAATATCGAATAGCATATATGGTTTGTCTGTGTGTGTAATTTGAATCTCTTTTTGTTAACTAAATACAGAAATCTTTCATATAATCATAAAGTGAACAAGTTCGAATTGAAATGCTGAAGTGTATTAAATTTAAGTGAAATTTTCGTGAATTACCAAATTAACGTTGGAAATAGTAAATAAAAATTATATCTTGACTTAATTTCTTGTCTGATAGTAAATATTTACTTAGCAATTTTTAACATTAATTTGATTTTCTCTAAACAGTCAAAGCCATTTCAAAATGGCAGCAAATCTTAAATAATAACTGCATAATCTTTATAAACTTTCAAAATTGCGAATTGTTTGCTGTTGAATTAATGAAAGCTGAATTTATTTTAAAAATTTTTTTCAAAGAATTTAACTACAGGAACTTAAATATTATTTCAATACTCAGTTCAATACTAACGTCATCAAGCTTCAGAAGAGTTATTGTTCCAGAACATAGCAGCCAGCCCACGATTTACTTTATTTTTTTAAATTTATTAAAGTTTTTAGGCGTCAAAAATATTTTAAAAAAAGAACTCTTACAGATAAACTTAAATTAACCCAATCCAAACATCGCTAGAAGACAACTTTTTATTTAACGTAAAACCAAAACCTTTTAAACAGTATTTTCCAGTTTTAATCTTAACCTTTCCCATTCTAACTAATTTATTCTGCAGTTCCAATATCATCAAGACCTTAAATTTATGTTGCATTTATACCTGATTATAGTATCCTGAAGTAAACGATTTATATTTCCAGGAACAATTATTATTTCAGAACATAATCACCATAAAACCACAGTTTTCATTAAAAAAAAAAATACTAATCTTTCTAACAATTTATATTATAAACTACATTTTTTAAGTCTCCTAAAAATTCAGCCAGAAGCTACAGACTCCAGAAACTTTTAATCGGTTACACAATCCAAACATCGGTAGAAGATTACTTATAATTTTACCCTTTCTAAGGCCGTGCTAAGTATACTTGACACCTATTTCAGCAATTTTTAAATATCCATGGTAAACTATTTTATCACTTTCAATGTGTGCAGCTAGATGTTAATAATCCTATCTCAGATGAAAAACCCTGGAACAAATTTAGTATAACCAATCGCCAATTTTAAGGAATATTTACAGGAATTCGTATTCTACTAAGAGATATCAAATGAAAACGCGACATCTGCACTGATTTTGATATGTCTCCATATTTTTTTTCCCCAAAAATTTCGTTAAAATTTATTTTATATTTCAGAAGATATATAAATCGGGGGTTAAGTTATTAGCCTCTAATGAGTGATGATGCATCTATCACAAAAAAACATACTAAAATTCAAATAAATTTGATCTAATAAGCCAAATGAAGTTATTTCTTTTACTCAAGTTCAATCCAAAATGTATTTTAATGTATTATTGCTAGATATAAACGACCCGTTAAAGGGTTAAAGAGAAATCAAACAGTACTTAGCAGAAAGAAACAATTTATATCATTAGGAACAGTTATTATTCCAGAACAACATCAAGCAACATTTTTTTTTAAAAAATTGCAAATTGTTCAAGCATTTAAGTCTCCTAAAAATTCAGCCAGAAACTGCAGACTCCAGAAACTTCTTATCAGTTATACCATCCAAACCTCGGTGCAAGACTGCTTTAAATATTTAGAGTAAAATCAAAACCTTCCACTGAGTACCTTCCATTTTTAAATCCCAACCCGTCCCATTCTAACTAATTTATTCTGCAGTTCCAATATCATCAAGACCTTAAATTCATGTTGCATTTATACCTGGTTATAGTAACCTGAAGAAAACGATTTATATTTCCAGGAACAATTATTATTTCAGAACATAATCACCATAAAACCACAGTTTTCATTAAAAAAAATTACTATTCTTTCAAACATTTTATGTTATTAACTACATTTTAAGTCTCCTAAAAATTCAGCCAGAAACTACAGACTCCAGAAACTTTTAATCAGTTATACAATCGGTACAAGACTACTTATAATTTAACCCTTTCTAAGGCCGTGGTAAGTATACTTACATTTCAGCAATTTTTAAATATACATGGTAAACTATTTTACCACTTTCAATGTGTGGAGCTAGATGTTAATAATTCTATCACGGATGAAAAATTCTGGAACAAATTTAGTAACCAATCGCCAATTTTAAGGAATATTTACAGGAGCTGCCATTCATATTCTACTAAGAGATATCAAACGAAACCGCGACATCTACACTGCTTTTGATATGTCTCCATATTTTTTTTTCCAAAATTTCACGCAAATTTATTTTATATTTCAGAAGAGATATAAATCGGGGGTTAAGTTATTAGCCTCTAATGAGTGATGATACATCTATCACAAAAAAAAAACATACTAAAATTCAAATAAATTTGATCTAATAAGCCAAATGAAGTTATTTCTTTTACTCAAGTTCAATCCAAAATGTATTTTAACTATTATTGCACGACATAAACGGCCCGTTAAAGTAAAATCAAAACCTCCCAAACAGTACTTAGTGGAAAAAACAATATCTTAAAGAGCAATTATTATTCTAGAACATAATCACCATCAAGCAACATTTTTTTTTTAAATTACAAATTGTTCAAGCATTTAAGTCTCCCAAAAATTCAGCCAGAAACTGCAGACTCCAGAAACTTTTAATCAGTTACACCATCCAAACCTCGGTGCAAGACTGCTTTCAATATTTAGAGTAAAATCAAAACCTTCCACTCAGCCACTTCCATTTTTAAATCCCAACCCGTCCCATTCTAACTTCTTTAATTAGTTCCCGCGCTTCCAAAATCACCCATCAAGACCCCGAACTTCAAGACATACAAGTGTACTGGCAGAAAATCTCGCATCTCATAACAATCACTTAGCAACTAGACATCATCGCTTTGGAGAAGTAATAAACCTTCGTAAACTCCTACGAAATCTATGCTCGCTCCATTAGACGTCCCTATACGGCGACTTACTAAATACTGACTTCCGTATAATGTCCAGATTACTGCCATGGAAGGCTTTTCGGTTAATGAGTATCTTCCCCGTGTAAGAATTTTCATAATGTGTCCTCATTAAAGAGATAAATTTGAAATGCATAGGACACTGAGACGTCGCGATTGGCCATCTTCAATAAAGTATGTGACAAGGAAGATTCGAGATGATCTCATTTTCATAGTAGGCCCCCCGTTCAATGCTGGTAGATTATATTATTATGCAGTTTTAGTTTCATTTGGGACTTTATAATCATGCTGAATTCCAGACATTATTATAGATTTGAATTGCGTATTACGATTAAATTGAAATAGTACAAAATTTAAATATTTCTATGTGTTTCAGGATTTACATTATACAAAACAGGAGGAATTACACAAGACTATTTTGTTTAAATTATTTATGATTTATGAAGTGAAAAACGTTTTCAAAAATTTGAGTGACGCCAATTGTTCGTTAATTGTTGCAATGTAATTATAGATTTCTAAACTAATTAAGATGAGGTATTTATTAATAAGTAATTTTAAAAATTAATGTTTAGAATTTGAGTCTTCCTTATTCATTCCTAACGCTTGTGATGTGGACGCAGAAAATGTTCGGAGAGGATATATTCCGCCAATCGGCCGGTGTAGGGGGCAGGGAACTGTCTTTGCACCAGAAAGGTCCTGGGTTCGAATCCCGGGCAAGGCAAGGATGTTTCTTTCTCTCTCTGTGTGTGAATGTGACCCGCCCTATAAACGGGTTGTGGTTCTGTGAATGGCGTGGTAGAAGTCAAATTCCTGGCCATAGATGGTGCCACTGAAAAATAGGAACAATCGCACTCTTAGTGCCTAAACAGGCATACCACTTAAAAAAAAAAAAAGAATATATTCCTGTCAGTCTTGGGAGAGGAGTGGATAACTCGGTTTAGGGATGACCAATACATGTTTTTAAATTGAAAATTTTGAAAACATTACATTACATAGATTTGCATGATCTTTCTTTAAGCACTACAATTCATTTTAAATATTATTTTCTACGCACAGAATGGGACACGACTTTACGCATTTCTCTATCACAGTTTGGCATAGACTTAAAATCACGAGAAACTTTGCAAACTGATCGATCGTTTGACATACAGAAGTGCTCCTGGGATAAATATGGTTGCAATATTTAAAAAATTGGATGATTAAAAAAATGTGGAGAGGGAAACTTTATTTGTTGTAGTGGGGTTCGATAGTTCGTTCCCGGCATCTTTCTCAACAACCCGAGTCTTTATGCAACAAGGCACTCGGTACATCTATTGTGGCTGAAAGTCCTCTTGTATATGTGAAAGTGTTATACAGATAGGTACCAGTTCAGGCACTGTTCACATCATCTGACCGGAGTAAAAATGATTGGACATTTATACTATAGCTGTCAAACGATACAGCCTAATAAACTGAGCTACTCGCTTGTCATACATTAAGTAATGATGTGTGTAACATGTGTGATGTTTTATAATNTAAATACTGACTTCCGTATAATGTCCAGATTACTGCCATGGAAGGCTTTTCGGTTAATGAGTATCTTCCCCGTGTAAGAATTTTCATAATGTGTCCTCATTAAAGAGATAAATTTGAAATGCATAGGACACTGAGACGTCGCGATTGGCCATCTTCAATAAAGTATGTGACAAGGAAGATTCGAGATGATCTCATTTTCATAGTAGGCCCCCCGTTCAATGCTGGCAGATTATATTATTATGCAGTTTTAGTTTCATTTGGGACTTTATAATCATGCTGAATTCCAGACATTATTATAGATTTGAATTGCGTATTACGATTAAATTGAAATAGTACAAAATTTTAATATTTCTATGTGTTTCAGGATTTACATTATACAAAACAGGAGAAATTACACAAGACTATTTTGTTTAAATTATTTATAAAGTGAAAAACGCTTACAAAAATTTTAGTGTCATGAAATGTGTGTCCGTTAATTGTTGCGATGTAATTATAGATTTCGTAACTAATTACGATG